TGAGCTAAACATATTTCTTTTGTTCTGCATAAAGTAGCAATTATTCTTGAACTCCTTTCCCTCCTCCCTAGCTCAAACAGGCTAGCCAGTTAAACAAAGACCTTAAATTACACACACACATTCTCTCTCTCTCTCTCTCTTTCTTCCTTAAAGACAAAAAGCTGAAGCCAAGCATAGTGGTAATCCCAACACATGTCTAGATGTCACCTTACCTTATTTATGCAGACTCAGGTCTCTTCCAAGGCTAAATTAAGGCCCCTGCCTCTAGTCTACCATTGCACCCTTTGCTAACTCACATCCTAATATATAACAAATTGTCTCTGTAGCTTTTTTTTGTCTCTTTCTCTAGACCATAAACATCTTCATATGGATGGCAAGGACAAAATCTCATTCTTGTTTATATCAGTAGTTTCTAGGATATCCCATGGTCAATAATCTTTTTTTTTAATTTTTTTTTTTGTGCCAGTCCTGGGGCTTGAACTCAGAGCCTGGGCACTGTCCCTGAGCTTTCTTGCTCAAGGTTAGCACTGTACCACTTAAACCCCAGCTCGATTTCTGGCTTTTTGGTGGTTAATTGGAGATAACACTCTCACAGCTTGGAGCTAGTGGCTCACACCTTCTAGCTACCTCAGGAGGCTGAGATCTAAGGATCACAGTTTGAAACCAACCCAGAAAGAAAAATCCTGGTGAAACTCTTATCTCCAATTAACCACTCAAATCCGCAAGTAGAGCTATGACTTAAAGTGGTAAAGTGCTAGCCTTGAGCAAAAGAGCTTAGGGACAGTGCCCAAGCCCTTGAGTTCAAGCCCCACAACCGACCAAAAAAAAAAAAAAAAAAAGATTATAGGCATTAACTACCAGTGCCCAGCTCAGTCAATAATCATTTGTTGAATGAATTAATGAATGAATGAGTGCAATAAATTTCATTTAGAATCTTTTTGTGATTTTTTTTAAACAGATTTTCCCTGATAAATCAACTGAACTCAGGCTAATATTAAAATTGCTCCATCCAATCCCATCTCTAGCTGATAGCAGAAACAAAAAAATGCCCCTATCAGATCATGAAAATAAAGGATTAAAAAAAAAAAAAATATGGAAGGGCTAGGAAGGTGGCTCAGTGGTAGAGCGCTTGCCTTGCATGCATGAGGCCCTGGGTTCGATTCCTCAGCCCCACATAAGCAAAAAGAAAAAAGCTGGAAGTGGCGCTGTGGCTCAAGTGGTAGAGTGCTAGCCTTGAGCTGAAGAGCTGAGGGACATCGCCCAGGCCCAGAGTTCAGGCCCCACCACCGGACCCCAAAAAAAAAAAAAAATGGAACTGGCTGGGCCTGAAATCCTAGCTCCTCAGGAGGCAGAGAGCTGAGGACTGTGGTTCAAAATCAGTCCAGGCAGAAAAGTCAGTGAAACTCATCTCCAATTACCCACCAAAAAGCCAAAGTTAGATCTACATCTCAAGAGATAGAATGCTAGCCTTGAGCAAAAAAATCTTAAGGTCAGCACCCAAGCCCTGAGTTCAAGCTCTAAAACTGTACCAAAAAAAAAAGGAATCACTTGCTATCTAAAATAAGCTCAGAAAGCATGATCATGCTACCTGTTCTTTGGTACAAGGTAACAGCCTATGCTTCTGCAAGCCTGGAGGTCAGAGGAACTGATGGAGCTCTGGATTACTGTCTTCACATCCCTCCTACCAATCCTATATTTTCTTTTACCTTATTTTTTTGTTCCCCTTCTTACCTTTGTCTCCTTTCCTCATTCTCTATGCTTTTGTATTTTCATTCTGTTCTCAATTTTCCCTTTAGCTTTCCCCTGCCCTCCCTGGACTTTAGGTACAGGTTTCACATGGGCCCTGGCTTTGTCCAATGTAAAAAACTAAATCAATGTGAAAAACTAAATTCCTGGTTATTTCCATCAACTGTACGAATTAATTTCTTTTTTGAGAGGGGTGGTGATCTGAACTCAGGGCCTCACACTTGTTAAACAAGTCACTCTATCACTTGAAACAAGCCTCCAGCTTTATTCTGATGTTTTAAGGGGAACTAAGATGTGACCTCCTAATTGCAGTACAAGGTCATCAGCATGGGACCCCATTATTTACCATCTTTAAAAAGAGTAGAGGTGGTTCATGCCTATAATCCTAGCTACTTAAGAGGCTGAGATCTGAGGATCTCAGCTCAAAGCCAGCCCAGGCAATAAAGTCCATGAGACTCTTATCTCCAATTAACCACCAGAAAACAGAAGTGGTGCTGTGGCTCAAGTGCTAAAGTGCTTGCCTTGAGCTGAAGAGCTCAGGGGCAGTGCCCATGTCCAGAGTTCAAGCGCCACTACCGACAAAAAAAAAGACATGGTTCTTGGGTATAGCAATCTAAAATACAATAAAGACTTTCTTTTCATTTTTTTTGGCCAGTCCTGGGGCTTGAACTCAGAGCCTTGGCTCTGTCCCTGGGCCTCAATGTGCTCAAAGCACTCCACCACTTTAGCCACAGCACCACTTCCAGTTTTTTCTGTTTATGTGGAACTAAGGAATCGAACCCAGGGCTTCATGCATGCTAGGCCAGCACTCTACCACTGAGCCAGATTCCTAGCCCAAGGTTTTCTTTCCTTAATTTTCTTTCATTATTTTTTCTGTGCTGGACCTGGGACTTGAACTTAGGGCCTAGGCACTATCCTGGAGCTTTTTTGCTCACAGCTAGTGCTCTCTACCACTTAAGAGTTATATCCCCACTTCTGGCTTTTCGGTGAATAATTAAAGAGTCTCAGGGACTTTCCTGCCTGAACTAGCTTCAAACCATGATCCTCAGCAGGGAGCTGGTGGATCAGGCCTATAATCCTAGCTACTCAGGAGGCTGAGATATGAGCATTGCGTTTCAAAGCCAGCCTGGGCAAGAAAGTACGTGAGACTCTTATCTCCAATTAACCACCAGAAAACTGGAAGTAGTGCTATGGCTGTGCCTATGGCTCTAGTGGTAAAGTGCTTGCCTTGAGCTCAAGAGCTCAAGGACAGCACCCAAGTTCAGAGTTCAAGCCCCAAGACAAAAAAAAAAACAAAAAAAAAAAACCATGATCCTCAGATCTCAGCCTGCTCAGTAGCTAGGATTACAAACATGAGCTACCAGTGCCTGGCTTTGTTTTTTGTTTTTTTTTGGGGGGGAGGTAAGTGGGAGGGGGAGTAGTAGCAGAGCTATAGGTAAACCCCAGGGCCTCATTCATACCATACAAGCCCTCTATCAAAAGCCTAGGCTATGTTTTTCGTGTGTGAAGTACTAGGGTTGAACGCAGAGCCTACTAAACAGATAATCTACCACTTACACCATGCCTCCAGCCCATTCTACTTTTTTTTTTTTTTTTTTTTTTTTGTAGGTTGTAGGGCTTGAGCTCAGGGCTTGGATGCTATCCCTCAGTTCTTCAGCTCAAGGCAAGTGCTCTACCACTTGAGCCACAGCGCCACTTCCGGTTTTCTAGTGCTTTATCAGAGATAAGAGTCTCACGGACTTTCCTGCCCGGGCTGGTTTTGAACCGTGATCCTCAAAGTTCAGCTTCCTGAGTAGGTAGGATTACAGGCGTGAGCCACCAGCACCCAGCTTCTACTATTACTTTAAATAAAAAATATAGGTGTCAGGTGCCGGACTCACGCCTGTAATCCTAGCTACTCAGGAGGCTGAGCTCTGAGGATCATGGTTCAAAGCTAGCCAGGGCAGGAAAGTCTATTAACCACCAGAAAATAGGAAGTGGCACTTGGCTCAAGTGGTAGAGCACTTGTCTTGAGCTGAAAAGCTCAGAATAGCACTCAGGCCGAGTTCAAGTCCCATGACCAACCAAAAAAAAAAGAGAGAGAGAGAGAGATAAGTAGATAAACCTGAAGAGGAAGAGTAATTTGAAATCATATTCTGGAAAAATTGCTACATGTTAGCAGAACAAATTTAAATAACTATCATGCCCGGCACTGTAAAACTAGATGTTCAGGAGGCCAAGATCTGAGCCAGTCCTGGCTCCTACACGAGATTTTTTTTTTTTTTTTTTAATCGGTCATTGGGGCTGAACTCTGGGCCTGGGTGCTGTCCCTCAGCTCTTCAGCACCCTACCACTTGAGCCACAGCACCACTTCTGGCTTTTTTCTGCTTATGTAATGCTGAGGAATCGAACCCAGGGCCTCATGCACGCGAGGCAAGCACTCTACCACTGAGCCAACTTCCCGGCCCCACACATGAGATTCTTCTCTCCAATTAACGACTTAAAAAGTCAGAAGTGGGGCTGGGATGTAGTTCAGTGGCAAAGCACTTGCCTACCAAATGCAATGTCCTGGGTTTGATCCCCAGTACCAAAAAAGAAAAGACCAAAAAAAAATATACAGTTAAAAAAAAAAGTCAGAAGTGGAGCTATGGCTCAAGTGGCAGATCAATCACTAGCCTTGAGCAAAAAAGCTCACGGACAGGGCCCAAGCCCTGAGTTTAAAGAAAATGAATGTGATCTCTACTCTTAAATGCCCTCTCAGGGAATGAAAGAATCAGGAATCATCCCTACCTTTGTGGAACTCATAAATATAAATAATAAGAGTAAAAAGGAAAAGATTATCTTAAGAAAGTCAAGAGCCTGTGGGTAACTGAGATAGAGAAAAAAAAAAAAAGACTGACTGGAAGAACTTTTGAGTTTAGGGTACTTATTTCACATGTCCAAATCCATGCCATAGCATCAGAAGCCAAGGAGAACAATCCACAACTAGGAATCAAGAGGCCTAGGTTTGGTACTAACAAACTGTGTAACTCTGAGCAAATCACCTTACTCTTCCATCCAAAGATCACTCATCCATAAAGTAAACATAACTTGTTGGCAGTTGTCTATGATGATCAAGTACTATAAAATCACTTGGAAAAAGTTCTATGTAGTATACCAGCAAGGGTAAGGAAAGAAAAATTATTCCTCTGATGGAGTATAAATCCTGTGCTTCAACTTCCAGTCTAGGCCTGACTTGCTATCCCATCCCTACCCCATTAAACCCCTTCACCAACCTGTGGTTGCTTGAATGAAAGAAGAGTCACGTGTGAGGCTCCCAGAGTGAGACATTGACTATTTAATCTGTTGTTCCATTCCGTATCTCAGTGGCTTCCTCCATAAAGTTGGTGGTGTGGGTCTGAAGGATGGGTCTGAAGGAGTGCAGAATTTGCAAAAAGTGAGTATTTACATAACGCTTTTACTCCCTCAAAAAATAAATAGCCAGAGCCAGGTGCTGACAGCTCACGCCTGTAATCCTAACCACTCAGGAGGCTGAGATATGAGGATCACAGTTCAAATCTAGCTCAAGCAGGAAAGTCCCTAAGACTCTTATCTCCAATGAACCACCAGAAAATTGGAAGTGGCGCTGTGGCTCAAGCGTAGAGCTCTAGCCTTGAGCTGAAGAGCTGAGGGACAGCAGCCAGGCCCAGAGTTCAAACCAACCTCCCCCCACCACCACCACCACCAAAAAGAAAACAAAAAACAAAGCTATCAAATGGCTTTCCTTACTTGGAAATAATCAGAAAAGGACTTAAGAGATCATTAATCTTTTGTTTTACAGATAAGAAAACTGAAGCCCAGATATATGGATTATAGAAGACTCAGAGCTAATCAGTCCCTGAGCAAGGGGCTAGACACAAGCCTTGGATTCCAAAGTCTAGAGCTCTCTAGGCCAGATCACAGGACCACTCAAAGGCCTACCAGTAACCCGTAGAGTACATTATCATCATCAAAACACATTTGACTGGCATCAGTAGCTCCTCTGTAATCCTAGCTACTCAGAAGGCAGAGATCTGAGGATCACATTTTGAAACCAGTCCAGGATGAATCACTGTTTTCTTGTTGTTGCTGTTTTGTTTTGCTTTTTGTCAGTTGTGGGGCTTGAATTTAGGGCCTGGGCACTGTCCCTGAGCATCTTTGTGCTCAAGGCTAGTGCTCTACCACAGAAAAAGCCAAAAGCACTGTGGCTTGAGTAGTAGAGTGCTAACCTTGAGCAAAAAGCAGCTTAGGGACAGTGCTCAGGCCCTGAGGTCAAGCCTCAGGCCCTGAGGTCAAGCCCCAGGCCTGGCAAAAAAAAAAAAAGCAGGAATTAGAATTATGGGGACTTTTCTGCTCCAGCAGGCTTCAAACCACAATCCTCAGATCTCAGCCTCCTGAGTAGCTAGTAGCTAGAAGTAGAGCTGTGGCTCAGGTGGCAGAATGCTAGCCTTAAGCAAAAACAACTCAGGAATAGTGCTTAGCCCTAAGTTGAAGCCCAAGGACCAATACCAAAAATAATCACTGTAAAACTTAACAACAAAATGTGGCCTAAAAGTAGGGGCGGAAAAATCTAATGGAAGAACAGCTTGGGAAATAGAGTTGGAAAACAAAAGGTTTTCCTGAGGAAGCATAATGAGTCCTAGAGAAAGGAAAGACTTAAAATAGGTTGTTTGGGGGCGAAGACATGTGAGTAAAATTTTCTTTAGGGAATATTTCCTTTTTTTGGGTATACATTCCAATACTGGGGTTTGAATACCAGGCCTGCTGCTCAGTTTTGGGTTTGTTTTTTGTTTTTTTGTCGGTCTTAGGGCCTGAATTTTGGGCCTGGGCACTGTCCCTCAGCTCTTCCACTCAAGGCTAGCACTCTACCACTTGAACCACAGTGCCACTTCCAGTTTTTTCTGTTTATGTGGTGCTGAGGAATCGAACCCAGGGCCTCAGGCATGCAAGGCAAGCACTCTACCACTGAGCCACCTTCCCAGCTCTACTGCTCAGTTTTTTGTTTTTGTTTTTGTTTTTTTTTGGTCAGCCATGGGGCTTGAACTCTGGGCCTGGGCGCTGTCCCTCAGCTCTTCAGTTCAAGGCGAGCGCTCTACCACTTGAGCCACAGCGCCACTTCCGGTTTTCTGGTGGTTTATTGGAGATAGGAGTCTCATGGTCTCTCCTGCCCGGGCTGGCTTTGAACCGCGATCCTCAGATCTCAGCCTCCTGAGTAGCTAGGATTACAGGCGTGAGCCACCAGCGCCCGGCTTTTTTTTTTTTTTTTTTTTTGGGGTCCGGTGGTGGGGCCTGAACTCTGGGCCTGGGCGATGTCCCTCAGCTCTTCAGCTCAAGGCTAGCGCTCTACCACTTGAGCCACAGCGCCACTTCCGGCTTTTTTCTCTTTGCTTATGTGGTGCTGAGGAATCGAACCCAGGGCCTCAGACATGCAAGGCAAGCGCTCTACCACTGAGCCACCTTCCCAGCCCTGACTGCTTCTTTTAATATAATAGTGAACATACATTTCTAGAGTACTACTTGGAATGCCAAGTAGTAGTACTCTATTTCACTAAAGTTTTGTTATATATGTGTGTGCGTGTATATATATATATATATATATACACACACACACACGTGTGTGTGTACACGAGTTATGATATAAAATTAATTTACTTTTTAAATGTGACAGCCATTACCCAAGGGCGAAAGCTCACACCTGTAATCCTAGATACTCAGGAAGCTGAGATCTGAGGCTAGAGGTTCAAAGCCAGTCCAAGCAGGAAAGTCCACAAGACCCTTATCTCCAATTAGCTACCAAAAAGCAGGGAGAGGAACTGTGGCTCAAGTGGTAGAGCATTGGCCTTGAGAACAAAAGTTCAGGAATAATGCCTAGGCCCAGATTCAAGTCCAAGGACTGATACCAAGGGAAAAAAAAAAGGTGACAGTCATTGAACTCCAGTGTAGAATAATGTTTAGAACAGTGCCTAGCACATATTAAGTGCTTGGTGCTTCTATTATAGCCACTATTGCTATTATATACTTATCTATTAAGATTGTTTGCAGGCTTAAATACAATAATGTGAAAGCACTTTGGAAAACATTAACGTAAGTGAAAAAGCAAAAGGCCCTTCCCTCCATTTTTGATACCAACTGACATAGAGCACTACATATGCACAATTTGTTTCTTGGCCCACTAGCTATGCTACATATGGAATTGATAAGTCCACAGATTCCTGACTTTTACCTAACACTCCATTACACTCTGTTAATATTTGCTGAAAAATGGAGGCTTGATGCCAGAATAAAATAACATTTTTATCTGGTTGGAGCTTTAAGGTAAGGGAAGACAGGAGTCAAGCGATGAGGTAAAGTCAAACATGTAATTTAAACGAAATTGTTCACTTCCCCAGAGGTAGATAGACTCAAATGTGCCAAACAAAGGGCCAGACTGCCAGGTGCTTATGGCTCATGCCTGTAATCCTAGCTACTCGGGAGGCTGAGATCTGAGGATCATAGTTCAAAGCCAGCCCACGCAGCAAAGTCCGTAAAACTCTTATTTCCAATAAAACCACCAGAAAACTGGAAGTGGCGCTGTAGCTCAAGTGATAGAGCGCTAGCCTTAAACTGAAGAGCTGAGGGACAGCGCTCAGGCCCAGAGTTCAAGTCCCATTACTGACAAAAAAAAAAGGGGGTGGGGTGGACTGATGCCTTGGGCAGATCAGAATCACTTCCTTCTCCCTATCTACATCCAGATATGTCCTAAAACAATAGCTGAGCCTATCTAAACAGGTATCATCTCAATAAAAACTGGAAGTTCCCAAATAGACATAAATAGGTGCTGACTATATAACAAAGGGTTACTAGAGGGCTCCTTTTTTTTTTGCTGGTCATGGGGCCTGAACTCTGGGCCTGAGCGCTATCCCTAAGCTCTTCAAGCTCAAGGCTAGCATTCTACCACTTGAGCCACAGCGCCACTTCCAGCTTTTTCTGCTTATGTGGTGCTGAGGAAATGAACCTAGGGCCTCCTGCATGCAAAGCAAGCACTCTACCACTGAGCCACCTTCCCAGCCATAGAAGGTTCCTTTAAGAGACAACTCATCTACTCTGTTGAAGACTGCACTTAAATTGTAAAGCTGTGTTTGGCCAGTGTTCCAGGCCAGCCTAAGCTACTCAGTGAGACTCAAAAAAAGAAGGCTCGAGGTGGGAAGGTGGCTTAGTGCTAGAGCGCTTGCCTGGCATGCATGAAGCCCTGGGTTTGATTTTTCAATGCCACATTAAAAAAAAAGGGGGGGGGGGCTCTTGCAAATAAATGCAAGGCCTGAGCTCTTTCCCCAGCTCTACAAATAAGGCTGTGTGCCAGTTGTTCATGCCTGTAACCCTAGCTTCTCAGAAGGCTGATATCCAGAGGGCTGATGTTCCTTCAAAGCTTGCCTGAGCAGCAAGGTTCCCTACATTCTAGCTCCAAAAAGAAAACCCAGCAAAATGCTGGACTGTAGGAGTGGCTTAAGTGAGTAGAGTACCAGCTATGACAAAAATAAGAACTAATAACCCAGTACTGGCATAAATAATAATCTAGAACCTTTAAGAGAAACAAAAAAAATCTGGAAAACATGCTCACCAGTATGGATATCAGGAGGTCTGGATTCCATCCCCGATACTGTGTGACCTTGAACCAGTCACTTCATCTCTCTAGGACCTAAAATGTCTTCTTCTGTTAAAAAAAAAAAAAAAAAAGTGAGAGAGATATATAAATACCTTAGGGAATTGTGGTAAAAATTTAAGATCGTATGTAATGAAATCCCTAACATCAGATCTGTCCTGTTCCGACTACAACAGTGGACACACAACTATAATCAACTTCAGGTCTTTGGCCTGCTGGGACAGGGCAAAAACTAAAGTCTTCCGTTAAGATAAACTGAAAAACAAACCAAAAAACACCGTGATTTCTCCAGCAAAACAGTAGGTCTAGGAGTTTCCCATCTCCTTCCTTAAAGCAGTCGTTTCTAAGTGCTTTCGGGTCCTCCGCAGGGAGGTAGAGGAAAACCAACCCATACCTTGGCCCAGCACCTGCACCCCCCCCCCCACTAATGAACTCGAGCGGGCCGGGAGGGCCGCCATTGTGTCTGCATGTGTCACGTGCCCCGTTCAGACCGGGGTGGGGAGGCCAGTGTCCCACCACGCTTGGAGGTTTTAACCTGCCAGGGGGAAATCATAACACGCGCGGTGCTGGGAAGCCCGAGGGGAACCAGAGGGGACGCGTTCTAGAGCTTTCCAGCCGACCCCAGTTTCCTATTGGCGACGAACCGCGGCCACGTGTCGCCATTTTGTGTTCAGTAAACATGGCGGCCACCCACGCGGACCAAGCCCGCGGGGGGGGGGGGGGGGGGGGGGGTGCCACGTTAGCCGTTTGCTCTGCGGCATCCTCAAACACGCTCTCCACACCACCTTCTCCGACCTGGCTCTGCCCAAGGAGGAAAAGAGAAAGGGCAAAGCCCAACTCCGACGCCAGCGCCCTCAACCTTTCCTAGCGGGAGGCGCTCGGGAAAGAAAGGCTTCCCAAGATGGCGGCCCAGCCTCGAGCCGCCCCCGGAGAGCGGGGCGCGGCGGCGGCGGCGGCGGCGGCGGCGGCTGAGCGGCCGCGGCGGGAGCGAGCGCCCACCGCGCCGGGAAGGCCGCGGAGCCCGCAGTCCCACCCCGCGCCCTCGGAGTTCGGCCTGCACCGAGGCCCGTTATTGTTCCAAGGCGCGACACTGCCGCAGCAGGCACGACACAAGGGCAAAAGATGGGGGGGGGGCCTCCGGGTTTTGCCAAGAGAGCAGGAAAGTGCAAACAAAGCATTATATAAATGGCGCCATTCTTTTTATGGCCGTGTTTCTAACGCTTCACCAAAACACCACAGCCGGAGCTCTGCCAGCGACAGGAGCCCAGTTTAGTAACTTTCTCCTCAGCCGCCGCGACCGAGCCTAGGTAGGGGTTGGGGGGGGATGGGGGATGGCGCGGGGCGCTCGGACGCCAGGGACGAAAAGGCCCCACGTGCCCGCCGGCGCGCGCACCCGCGCGCCAGGCCGCGCCTCGCCACCCCTCCCCCCCGGAAGATGGAGGCTACCCCTCCCGTCCCCCCCCCCCCACGCTTGTGCGCATGCGCTCTGGGCACCTCACGCGCACGTTTTAAACCCGCGGCGTCCTAGCTACCGCCTGCAGTGGCCGCCGGGCTGCCTGTGTCGTTCCGCATGCAGAAGTCCCTTTATTAAAGCCGGGAAATGATATGCGTGTCCCACACTAAACACTAATATTTCCAGCCGCGGCCCCGCGGCCGTGAAAGCCGGTAAAATATATGTTCGCTTTAGAAGTCTGCCGGTCCCGCAGCACCCACCCTCCGGGTGCATCAGCTTCACTACCGTGGGGTTGGGACATTTTTTTGTAGTACCGCGTGGAGGTGGGCACGAACTTGGGACCTAAAAGTTGTGGGTCCTCATTTTTTTCAAGGGGTCCTGCGCGGCAAGCACTTCCGGGGTCAGAGGGTACTCGGGGTTGAAAGCGGGCTTCCCGCCCCGCCCAGACCGCCGAGGCTGCCGCCGGAGTCGCTACCGCCGCGCCCTCGCCCACCCGCCCGCCCGCCGCTCCCGGCCCCGCTCGCCCCCTCCGCCGCCGCCGCCCGCCCCTGCGACGCCGCCGCGGCCTCCCGCCCGCACCCGCTCGCTCCCGCGGCCCTCGCTCGCCTCGCGCCGGCAGTTTTGGGCCTACACCTCCCCTCCCCCCGCCAGCCACCAAAGACTTGACCACGTAACGAGCCCAACTCCCCCGAACGCCGCCCGCCGCTCGCCATGGACGCCGGTGTGACCGAAAGCGGACTAAATGTGACTCTCACCATTCGGCTGCTTATGCACGGGAAGGAAGTGGGGAGCATCATTGGGAAGAAAGGGGAGTCGGTTAAGAGGATCCGCGAGGAGAGTGGCGCGCGGATCAACATCTCGGAGGGGAATTGTCCGGAGAGAATCATCACTCTGACCGGCCCCACCAATGCCATCTTTAAGGCCTTCGCCATGATCATCGACAAGCTGGAGGAAGATATCAACAGCTCCATGACCAACAGCACGGCGGCCAGCAGGCCCCCGGTCACCCTGAGGCTGGTGGTGCCGGCCACCCAGTGCGGCTCCCTGATTGGGAAAGGCGGCTGTAAGATCAAAGAGATCCGCGAGAGCACAGGGGCCCAGGTCCAGGTGGCGGGGGATATGCTGCCCAACTCCACCGAGCGGGCCATTACCATCGCTGGTGTACCGCAGTCTGTCACCGAGTGTGTCAAGCAGATCTGCCTGGTCATGCTGGAGACGCTCTCCCAGTCTCCGCAAGGGAGAGTCATGACCATTCCGTACCAGCCCATGCCGGCCAGCTCTCCCGTCATCTGCGCGGGCGGCCAAGATCGGTGCAGCGACGCCGCGGGCTACCCCCACGCCACCCATGACCTGGAGGGACCACCTCTAGATGCCTACTCCATTCAAGGACAACACACCATTTCGCCGCTCGATCTGGCCAAGCTGAACCAGGTGGCAAGACAACAGTCGCACTTTGCCATGATGCACGGCGGGACCGGATTCGCCGGAATTGACTCCAGCTCTCCAGAGGTGAAAGGCTATTGGGCAAGTTTGGATGCATCTACTCAAACCACCCATGAACTCACCATTCCAAATAACTTAATTGGCTGCATAATCGGGCGCCAAGGCGCCAACATCAATGAGATCCGCCAGATGTCGGGGGCCCAGATCAAAATTGCCAACCCAGTGGAAGGCTCCTCTGGTAGGCAGGTTACTATCACTGGCTCGGCTGCCAGTATTAGTCTGGCCCAGTATCTAATTAATGCCAGGCTTTCCTCTGAGAAGGGCATGGGGTGCAGCTAGAACAGTGTAGGGTCACTCATAACCCCCTTCTGCTGTTTTTCCCATGATCCAACTGTGTAATTTCTGGTCAGTGATTCCAGGTTTTAAATAATTTGTAAGTGTTCAGTTTCTACACTTTATCATCCGCTAAGAATTTAAAAATCACATTCTCTGTTCAGCTGTTAATGCTGGGATCCATATTTAGTTTTATAAGCTTTTCCCTGTTTTTAGTTTTGTTTGGGTTTTTTGGCTCATGGATTTTATTTCTGTTTGTCGATAAAAAGAAATGTAAGAGTGGAATGTTAATAAATTTCAGTTTAGTTCTGTAATGTCAAGAATTTAAGAATTAAAAAATGGATTGGTTAAAAAAAAACGCTTCATATTTGAAAAAACCTGGGAATTACTATCTTAAAACTCTTTGTTGGTGCCTTTTTTCCCCCCTTTCAGTGTAAGTGTTTGGAGGCTGAAGGGAGAAGGGTGGGTGGACCCTGGGTATTGGAACTGTTTTCACCTTATCTCTTAAGAATCCTTTCCCTTTGCCCCAACAAAGAAACAGCAGGTTGGGCCTGCTTTGGGATGTTGGTGTACAAAGACCAACGGTCTTTTCCTGGGAGTGATATCTCCAAGTGCCGGAGAATAGCCTCTGCCCGTTTTTCTGGTAGAAAACCTCAGGTTTTCTCGGGAGGAAAATGTCCGCTCTTCAGACCTGAAAAAAGAATAGCTACCTTTCCAACCAATCCCCCACCCCCCCTGGAAAAGCTTATCCAAGAACAATACAGTATTAGAAGTGGGGCAGCCTGAGGGAGGGAAGGGTAGGAGGAGGGCAGCAGCTGCAGGGTGGTGGGAATAAGAGGGTCTTGGACAGGGAGGGGGCTGGTACTAATCAACCACGTGGCAAGCATGCACCTGTGGCTAGCGGCTTGTCAGGATGTTACTACACCTGTCAGGCATATTCAGAAACAAAAGAGGCCCAGTTTCTAATTTTTCAGCTGTGCAGTGTTTTGGAGAATTGTCAGGAAATCCTTAATTGGGATATTCCTCACAGCTTAGAGATTGATCATTGACTACAGCCTAAGGAGGATCCTGGTGTCCAGAAGGCAGGTTTCTGGGTCCTACTTAAAAACCAACCTGAAAATTTGCTTTTTAAATGTTCTTAAGGGTCTTTGAGTGCCATTGTGTCTCTCGTGAATGAGGAAGATGTGAAGGCTTGGTAGCCTCATGGCACATCAGCCAATAAAACTAGGCTGGGCCTGAGGAGAGAGGAAAAAGTTTTTATCAGTCTAAGGCAGCACTGTAAACAAAAGCTAGTGCCTAAGTGTGCAGATCAAATCCCAGGCACTATGTAGGATATCATTACCATCAAAGAAATTCCTGTGGGAGGGAAGTATTATCCATAATAAATATTTGCTGAAGCTGTTCTACAGGACGTCTCCTTCCTGAGGTATAGGCCTTGTTCTGAGAGTTCCTGGAGGTGAGATTTCCATGTACTTAACATCCACTGACCTGGTGAGACCCAGTCACTGAAAGAAGCCCCAATTCCCAACTTAGACTGCTTTCATATTTGTCTTTCACTCCACTCACAGCCTTGGGCATGTAGCCTTTATATAATGTTAAAAATACCCTCTGTGTTTGAGAAGAAAATGAAAGTGTGTATGTAAAGCAGAGCAGTGCTTACAACAGGAAACTACCAAAAGCCGTATTTGTGGGGGTAGGGAGGGTTGTTAGAATATCTAGGTAGAGACTAGGAATGTGGCTTAGTGGTAGAGTGCTTGACTAGCATGCATGAAGCACTGGGTTCCATTCCTCAGTACCACATAAACAGAGCCAGAAGTGGTGCTGTGGTGCTAGCCTTGAGCAAAAGAAGCTTAGGGATAGTGCCCAGGCCTTGAGTTCAAGCACCAAGACTGGGGGAAAAAAAAGGTTATCTAGGCAGAAAAGAGAAAAGGCCTGGAGCTACCTGGGGCCCCATGCCTCACACCTATAATCCTAGCTGAGGAGGTTGAAGTCTGAGGATCATGATTCAAAGCCAGCCCAGGCAAAATAGTCCCCTTGAAACTCATCTCCAGTAAGCCACTCAGAAAAAGCCAGAAGTGGTGCTGTGGCTCAAGTACTAGAGTGCTAGCCTTGAGCACAAAGGCTCAGGAACAGCACCCAGGCCCATATATATATATATG